AGGCAAGGAGGCAGGGAAGCAGGGAGGGAGGGAGGCAGGGAGGGAGGGAGGCAAGGAGGGAGGGAGGGAAGGAGGGAGGGAGGGAAGGAGGGAGGGAGGCAGGGAGGGAGGAAGGGAGGCAGGGAGGCAGGGAAGGAGGGAGGGAGGGAAGGAGGGAGGGAGGGAGGGAAGCAGGGAGGCAGGCTCCAAGTCTAGGGCAGGACAATCAAGCTTAACCAATATTCAGAGCAGTGCACAGCTGAAAATTCAGTAAAAGTTTAAGTGGTGGTTTGAAAGAAAATGGCCTCCAAAGAGAGTGGCACTATTAGAAGGTGAGGTCTGGTTTGGAGGGAGTGTGTCACTATGGCTGTGGGCTTTTTTGAGTCTTTTGCTCAAGCTTCCCTTTATGTGACAATCCACTTCCTGCTGCCTGCAAGATATAGGACTCTCAGCTATTTGTCCAGCAACACATCTGCCTGCATGTCACCATGCTCCCAACATGATGACAATGGACTGAACCTCTGAAACTGTAAGTGAGACCCCCCCTCAATTAAATGTTTTCCTTATAAGAGTTGCTGTGGTCATAGTGTTTCTTCACAGTAACAAAAACCTAACTAAGACAAAAGTTGTTGCCAGGAACCAGGGTATTGCTGTGATACGCCTGACCATGTTTTCGTTTGGAGTAATATGGACTTTGGTACATGGGTTAGGAAAGCAATGGAGCTGACTGTGATTTGATGAACTGTGGGGGACTCACTCAAGAGGTTTCTGTTGCCTAGAGATCATTCTTGTGATGAAGAAAGTGACTGCCTTTTGTCCTTGTCTGAAGAGTCCGCCTAAGACTAAAGTGAAAAATTTTGGGATTAATTCTGTTGGCAGAAGAAATCTCAAGACAGCCTAGTATAGACTCTGTAGTGTGCTTTTTAGTGGTAACTCTAATGAAGATTTATAATGAAAAAGAGCAAGCTGAGCAGGGTAAATTACAAAATGTAAACTTTAAGGAAAAAAAGAGCACCAGGAAGTGGAATGGAGCTAAATCCTATGTTCAAGAGATAAACAGATTAAGAGATGGAATAAAGGGATTGGTAACCTGGGGCAATATCCCACCCAGCTAAATTCCCAATCCGTGAAAAGGAACTAAAGAAAAGCTTAGAGCTGGGTGTGGTAGTGCATGCCTTTAATCTCTGGCACTGGGGAGGAAGAGGCTGTCGGATCTGAGTCTGAGGCCAGCTTGGTCTTCAGGACAGCCAAGCTTAGGTGGTAAAAAAAAAAAAAAAACAGCAAGCTGGTGAAGATATAACTGACCAAGGGGGCCATGTTCCAGCCCCAGTATGCAGCAGAACTTGGCAGGTTTGGACACATGGTTCTGGCTTTAGAGTTAAGAATAGAAGAAACAAGTTATAGAATAAAGCCCCTGAGGCCAGGCATGTGTGTGAGGTGCCCCCTGAATGGAGGCCAAGAGAGGCCATTGTGTGAAGCTGTGAAGTTGAAGCCTGGACTGCCTTGGAGTCCTCAAGATGTTAGAGATGCCAGAGTTATGGGATACCTGCTGAGGAAAGTTGCTAACAGGGAGCAGAACCAGCCCAAGAGAAAGAAGTGTGGTACAGACAACAGAGCTGAACAGAGTTGGAGATCTGAAGTCCGTTTCAACATCAAACATGGAGATGCAGAGTTTGGAGTCTGCCCAGCTGGTTTTTGGTCTTGCTTTGGTTCAGTTATTTCCTCACAATGCTCCTTGCCCATGCTTTGAAATGGTAATGTATATCCTGTGCCATTACATGTTGAAAGTATGTGATCTGCTTTTACATTGTGATTTTTACAAGATTACAGTTAAGAGATTGCCATGAGTCTTAGAAGAGACTTTGGACTTTAAAACAAGTTCGAGACTGTAATATGTTGTGTGATATTTTCTTTGTGTTCTGACAAAGCTTGCCTGGAGATCAGAGGGTGGAGCTAGCCACTAGTTAACCATTAGAGACCAGGCCATGGTGGTACACACTTTTAATACCGCACTTGGGAGGAGGAAGCAGGAAGATCAGGAGTTTAAGGCCACCCTGGGCTATGTGAGATTGATCCAGTCTAAAAGAGAAAGAAACATGGCCAGGCGTGGTGGTGTACGCCTCTGATCCCAGCACAGGGGAGATGGAGACAGGAATATAAGGCGGTGGAGACAGGATCTCCCTAGCCAGTCTGAGGATTCATAGAGACAGGATAGCCCTCATTCAGTCTGAGATGTCATAGAGGTAAGAAGTCTCTAAGTGGTCGCTGCTCTGCTTCTCTGATCTTTCAGCTTTCACCCTCGATATCTGACTCCGGGTGTTTATTGTTAAGACTAATTAGGATCAGGCTTCAGCAATAGACTGTGGGGACATTTTTGGATTGAATGCATTTTTTAACATTATGATATGGCTGTAAGTTTTGGGAGCAGGGAGAAAAACCTAAGACAGTTTATTTCATTTCTCAAATTTTCTATTTACTATTTTCAGATCATGGTTGATGTAGGTAATAAAATAATCAAGTCAGAATGTCAGGAGAGACTACTGTGCTCTATGCACATGGGCAGCATAACAGCTATAGCATTTGAGGTTCCTGAGGAAACCACATTCTGAACCGTCTCTAAACACATGACACACTGATATATGTACAATGGCTTCAGTGTTCTGAAAGACTGGATGCCCTCTGTAGCCTCGGCCTCTGGCTCTCTAGCACTACATATACAACAAATCATAAGTTTATAGTTTGTGATGACATAAAAACCTTTTTGGAGATTTTCAGCAAAATTAGCAAATGTTTGAAATAATCCAATTTAAAACACAGCCTATGAGTTGTTTCAAACACAAAAGCAGTAATACAGTCTACATAATGGCAAACTCCAGGGGGAGGAGGGCCTTAGAAGATAGCAGCCTACTGCCACAAGTTAGGACTCCAACAACCAGAAAACTAACTAGTCTTGAATGAAAGCTTCAAATAAAACAAGCAGGTTTCCTCAAAGCAAAAACTCACAACCCAGGGAGCAGAAGGCAGGGGAGGACAGGAAAGGAGAGAATTCGATTCTTTCGAATCTAGAAGGATGATGATGCGGCCCAGAAGGTAAGGGCACTTGCTACAGGAAACCATATAGAAAGAAAACTGGTTCTCTGGTCACCATGTGGAGGAAAATGTTTGGAAGGTGCCAATGAATGGCTGGTAAATGGTAGAAGGATGGTAATGGCTGCTGGAGGGGTGGGTGGGGTCCTTTCTTCAGAAATATAGCCACTGGTAAGCTGTGCCTGCTCCAGCAAATAGCCCCACACTCACTAACCAAGATTAACCATGACTAAGCCCATGGCTAATACGGTAGCACACGCCTTCAATCCCAGGACTCAGGAGGCAGAGGCAAGCCAATCTCTCTGAGTTCTAGGCCAGACAAAGCTAAACAGGAATACCTTGTCTCAAAAAAAAAAGAAAAAAAAAAGAAAAAGAAGAAAAGGCTTTTTTAAAAAAAGGGGGGGGAGGTTAACAAAGAAGGAAAATTTCAGAGAGAGTGGGAGGGGGTTAAAAGAGAGAAATGGAAAGAATTAATTAATTAAAAAAATTCTAAGCTAAGACACCTAAGGCAAGGGAACCTTGCTGTTAGCCAGCGTGCAAGCATCTTAAGGAGGCCCTGCTAGCTCTATTTTAGTCACCTACTCAATTATTCCAGTTCGTGATAACTCCTGATCCCTTTTACTTCATGAAGACACCTCTGCGAATTCTCCTCCAACTCTATAAACCTCAGTTTCTACAGTTCCATGACTTAATGTCTGAAACTGAAGTTTGATAAAGCATTTTAATGACAATGTTTGGTAATATACTATGCAAATGTTTCCATGTGGAAGACACACACAGAAGAGACAGGTGTTTGGCTGCATCCAGCAAGAGTCTGATGTAAACTGAGTCAATAGCATGTTCAAAGACCAAGAAAAGCATTCATTCGACTAGTTACTTATCCCCAAACACAAAACAATATTAAAACAGGACAAAAGTCATTCTGAATGCTCACTTGTGAAATCATTTAGCCTATAATTAAAGTAAGTCTTAGGAATTTAATATAACTCCACTATCAAAGTCAACAAACATTGCCAAAAGTCAGAGAGCCCGGGTACATTCAGAAGTGTAGTCATTATTACATGACAACTGAGATTTATAATCCAAAATGAAACACTTCTAAACCTTTCTAAAGAGGTAAAGATGTCTCTCCCTAAAGTTATCAACTAAATAAAAATGTACTATCTTACATATTTAACTGCATATTAACTAGGAACATCAGGATAAGCAAAATTCCCTAAAACTCACCAAAATGATGGACAAAAAAAAAAAATGAACTATTACTAACAATATTAAAATTTTAACAATAACAATAAAAATCTATTCACAAAATATAGTTCACTTCACATAAGATCATATTTGCATCACATTTTTTTTTTTAATCTTGATGTGGTGGTATGAATGAGAACGGCCCCCATGGGCTCAACATTTGAATGCTTTGGTCCTAGTTGCTGAAACAGTTTAGGAAGGACTAGGAGGTGTGGCCTTGTTGGAGGAGATGTATCACTGGGGGTGGACTTTGAGATTTAAAAGCCCACATCATTCCCAGTAGCTCTCTCTGCTTTATGGTTGTTGTTTCAACATGTAAGCTCTTGGCCACTGCTCCAGCTCCATGCATGCATGCATGCCTGTCTGCCACCTGGTGCCATGCTCCCTTCCATGATAGTCATGCACTCTAACCCTGTGAAACCACAAGCTCCCATTAATGCTTTCTTCTGGGTAATTTGTCTTGGTCATGGTATTCTAATCACAGCAATAAAAAAAGTACGATACTGATAACCATAAAAATTACAGAAAAATGAGAATCTTCAAAGCAGGGGTTCATTTTGCTAAAAGTTCTAAACTCTTCTCAGATTGTTGAGAAATTCTTATTTCTCAAAAGTCTCTTTAAAAGAAGAGTAAGCACAGCTATAAGTCACTGACATGGGACCGAAGGAGAAGGGAAGGCATCTTACCATTGGCAGTGCATTGATGTGAGGATGTACAACTGGATATCTGACCACCAAACACAAATTGCTGAGGCTAAGAAAAAACAAAAGAGTTTCAGTGTTTCCAAATTCAATTTAAGACTTCCCATACCAAATACTGGCATGTTCCAAATACTCATTTATAGGCTTTGGCATCCCACCAGTGACTCTCCACAGGGTAGCTATGTCACAAATAACAGCAAATGCTAAGTTCCTACATTCCTGAGAGGCTAATGCAGCTAACATCCAAGGAAGGTCATACATGACCCCCAATTCAGCTCAATCCCAGGGAGTACAATTGAATTAGGGTGCAATAGGCTGTTCATCAGACATGACCATGAGTCATGAAAGTCATGTGAACTTGCATTTTATATATTGATTCATGAGAAACATATTTAACTGGTTTTGGAATTATTTCAATCATAACACAGCAGGAATCAATCTCAGACTTTACAAAAAAAAGACTCTACCTCTACTTTTCTCAATGAGTAAAGCACAGCACATCATACCCACAAAACTTCTGCAACATAAAAGCTATGTTTTATATGCCACATCAAAGAGGGGACACTCAGAAAAGTCACTGATCATCAATGCAAAGTACAGGCTGATGCCACCAAGAGGAGTAGAGCCACAGTGGTATGCTTGGAATGTGTCCTACATCCGAAATTAAGACTCAGCATGTCAATCAAAAATAAGCAATATCCATAAAACCCTCAAATCCCTTTAGGTTTGTTCCTCTGGTTTCACTTCTCACTGAGCACCCAGGTATCCTGGTGCATGACCACACTTACTAGAGATCCAGGAATTCGAGTTAACATTAGACATCAAATATTGAGTTACAGAAGATCATGTCAACATACATCACTCCACTGGCCTCCAGTTCTTTAAGCTGTTATGAAAATATGCCTAGAAGGTGTTTTAGTGTGAAACACAGGTTTTAAGTATGAGGAGCTAGGACACACTTGGAGAACACTCTACACAGAACTACTGAATCCCAACAAAACCTAGATGCCACCAAATTGCTTACCTTAGGGTGATTCACAATGAACATCGTTTACCTTACTATATGGTAAACTTTTTAAAAGGATTTTTTTAAATTTATTTATGTATATATGTGAGTGTCCATGTGTGCCTGGTATGTATGCAGGGACCAGAAGAGGGCACTGGATTCTCTGGAGTTGAAGTTACAGATGGCTGTCCATGAGCTGCCCATGCCGGTGGTGGGAACAGAAAGGCTCTTAACTGTGAGCTATCTCCCTTGCCCAGTTTTTAATAATTCTGAGCTATCTATTAGCAGAGTATTCTTCTTATCAGGAGAAAAAAAAAAAGTTTTGCTTTGGCATACACGCTTTCTACTTATTTACATAAAATTAACATATTGCTAAATTATGTGATTTCAAAATACACAGGTTAGATAAATAAATAAAGTAAAACAGGTTAGATAAATTGCTTACAAACTTTCTAATTGTAGCTTCAACATTGTGACCTTTTTTTATATGTGTTCTTAATCAATGGCTTTTTTTTTTTCATCATTAAGAAATATTTTAAGTCAGGCATTGGTGGTGCATGCCTGAATCCCAGTACTCGGAAGGCAGAAGTAAGGGGATCTCTGTGAGTTTGAGGCCAGCCTGGTCTACAGACTGAGTTCCAGGAAAGCCAGAGTTATGTAAAGAGACCCTGTCTCAATTTTAAATAAACAAATAAATAAACAAATAAATAAATGAATGAGTAAATAAATAAATAAATAAACCCTTAGGGCATAGCTTTCTCTTAGACTAAATGTCAGCATCAAAAGGAGTATGTCTGTGTCAGACCTTCTGAGAATCTTTAGTTCCAGACATCTATGATGATTAGATCTAGCAGGTGGGTGTTCATTTTAGTTTCTAAGTGTCAGTTCCAGCACCCTGTCTGTCCTGTTCTTGTTTCAATCTGCAGTTTCTTTGTAAGAATGTCCTTGTAAAAGTCAGCAAAAAAGTAGATACTATACTAAAAATCCACTTCAGTGAACAAATGAAGTCACAGTGATCACTGAAATCCATGGAGATTCTGGAAAATGGAATGACAAAAAAGGAGAGCAGTGTATTCTCCACCACCCACCACCATCCACAGACAGCGCTTCGGTCTCTATTATAGATGTCTCTTCCATCAGGGACAGCTGCAGTGCAAACCAGAGCCCTTATCAAGTCTCAGAAACAAACGCTGTCTTGTCTAAAATGAGCATCAGTAAACTAACAATGATTTCCACCCACAGACACCCCGCACTTTGTGCACCTAGCCATACATATGAACCACCATACACATAAACTACCACGCATTACTTGGGAAAACACTGAGCCAGCTCATTCCAGTTAGTTTCCTTCTCTCCAGGGCTCTTTCCTTTCTTGGGGTCAGTGTGAATTTTCCTCACCATCCCCAATAGATGTATTTAGTATAAGTTCTACTAATTATCTCTCCTCAATATCCTTTAACTTTTCCTTATACTACAGTTTTTTAAGGTAAATACCACTTAAATGGATAAGTAAGTATATGATTCTACAAGATCAAGGACAAGCAGGGTAAGAGACACAGCTGTATGCAGACAATTCAACCTAAGCACCGGAACTTCAGAAACATTTAGGGCCACACTACTTTCCAGTTCAGGTGTTTTCTGAGTCAAGTCAACACATTTACCTGTGGCCAGCCAGCTGCTATGCAGCACACTTCGAAAGCAAATCACAGGAAAGGAAAATTTAACTTTGTAAGACACAGATACAAACTGGCAGGAAAATTACGAACATTACCAGTGTGCTTTAATCAATGAAATTAAACTAAGACAAGTAATCCAAGTTTTAAAGAAGCTTCATCCTGTACACCTGTCTTTTAATTTCCTTTTGTTTTCCAGAGAAATGGCCTTACTCTGCGGCCCAGATGGCTTCTAATGTGCAATCCTCCACATCTGTGCACTATGACCTGCTTTACCACTGTAGTTCTGATGTCAGTTTCTCCTCTCCCCTGGCCTTCAGTCCTCTGCAGTCTGTAACTGCTATGGCACTGACATTCTAGTACTGGAATGCCCTCTGCAAAGGTTCTGCCCTCATACCTAGCCCCAATCTTTTCTCCAGGGTTCAACCCACATCAGACTGGAAGAGGCGGAGCTCTCTCAACAAGCCTCTCTTTCCATACTGTCTAGCATGTGTCCCCAGCAGTTTCTGAAGACCAGGGCCCATTCGCTCATTTTGCTGTTCCTCTAGAAAACTAAGAAAAGCACCTGGAAAACATGTCGCTCTTGGGATCAAATGTCACAATAGCACAGACCGGATGGGTGCTCCTGAGGAAGAGAAATGCAGCACAGACTGACCAGAGGGGTGAGGAGGAAGTGGCTGCTGCTGCTCTTTTCACGCCACTTCCAGGTGGCAGGGAAAGGCTGACACTCCACTAACAGAAACTAAAGTGCACCTCATGGATATCATTACAAAGCTAACTTCGTGGAGTGCTAAATTTAAGTTCATTCAGTCTGCAAACAAAATATTTTGTTTTTAAAGCTATAATCAACATTTTATCTAAAGTGAATAAAGCATTAATCTTAGAAAAGGCCTTTATAGACATTGGACTAAGTAAACATTGTCCAAGCAATTCCACCAACACGTAATTAAGCTTTTTTTTACATGTTAAAAAAAAAATCTGCAAAATGACAAAATGTATCTTGACTGGTTTCTAACAGTAAACTCATTGGCCTCACTGATACCTTTGAAAAAGCAGTGGAAACTCTGGCTTCTCCCCCAGGAAAAGTGCAAACACAGCAAACACTTTACAGGGAGCAACGTATTCTAAAGTCCAGTCTCCTGTGACAAGTGCAAGGAAATCTGAGCACTTAAAGAAACAACAGAACAATGAATGTCCACTTTGTGTGGAGAATTTGGAAGTAACATTTGGAATTGAGGAAAAATTAAAATCTTACCAGAGCTGATTGTGTTAATTAAGATTTTTATTACACAGATGTAGCTAGCATACCCAGCTGGGGTTCAATCCCAAACCATAAATAAGAAGTACAAGATTTTATTAAATGAATTCCTGGGGGAAAATGTCAGAGAATTCCAAGTGAATCCCCTGGTGTACAATCTGCAGCATAATAAATGGACTAACTCCAAGGGGTGACTTTTAAAGGCAGCTATATATGTAAATCACAGTTCTGATTGGTCTTTCCTCATTTTTTACATTTTACAAAAAAAAAAAAAAAATTATCCTCAGCATGGCAACCCCTGACAACCTTACAGAAGAAGAAAGCCTTTGAAACACTGTATGCTGTGCCTGAGCTGACAGTCAGTCATGCACACACATGCAGGAACCTGTGCTCGCCTGACACCACAGGATAAGGTAGAATAGCGCCCCCTGCAGGAAGAGGGCTCCATGAGCACCTGTGCTTGCTTTCACTTCCCACTGGTTTCAGTTACTTGGGGAAACTGGAGCCCAAGAGTTGTGTATTATGATCTGAAATTTTTTAAAACTAAGCAATTTTCAAGACCACATATCCATATACAGACATCTAACCACCCAATTACTACTTTCAGCTGGGTTAGTCTCATGGGTGCATAATACAGTTGGACCTGTCATTAAACATCAAAATAAACCAGTGTGCAGAGGGATAATGCAAAAAGTAACTGAATATTTCAAAATTTGTCTGCTCAAATTCAACTACAGCGAAGTTCCTAAATTAAAGTGTAGTCTACTGTGAGTCAAATTCGTTATTAGCCACCTCCCAGCTTTTGGGAGGTAGAGAATCAGGAGTTCAAGGCTGGCCTGAGCTACATGAGACTCTGTCAAACAAAATTAACAAGGTCAAACTTATTTTAAGTTTAGGTTTTATAAGTTTTAGGTTTCAGCCAGGAATGCTAGCACATACTCACAACCACATTGTTTAGTTCAAGGCCATCCTCAGCTTAACAAGTTAAGGCCAGCCTGAACTACTCAGATCACGTCTCAAAAAAAAAAAAAAAAAAAAAAAAAAAAAAAAAAAAAACAGAAAAAGTTCACTGTCAATAATAGAGAATTTCAACAAACTTTAGCTGTTACTAAAAA